ATTTCTTATAGTCTCAACCCAGCACATCATATTTCACACTCCATCAGGATGATATGCACTTAACTTAGTGTTGGGTTCCCAGGAAGGCAGCATATATGCATATGTAAGGAAGGGCGCTGTAAAGCAGTGAGTCAGACACCTGGTTCAGAACTCAGCTGCTACTTTATTCATTGTATAATAAGTTACTTAATGTCATTAAGCTTCATTGTTATTACAAGGATCTATGTAAAAAAATTAGTGCAATGTTTGCAACATGATAATTACTCAATAAATCTTAGTAGTTTTATCATTCATAAAATTTTCAAAGGGATTTATAACCCCAAAACTGAAGATCCACTGTACATGACATTTTCTCTTTCACTCTCCGCTCACTTCCCCCCATATCTATACTCTTAACCACCTGTATGAATGGGAGTGAAACACTATGCCACACTATTGTGATGTTCAACTTAAGTTGAGGAAAGCCCCTTAGTACCTGGTAAAACACAGGCTTTAATAATATAAGCCAATGAGAGAATCTCGTACAGGTGACTACAAGTTGTAGTATAATAATGTACTGTCAGCCATGTTTTATGCAGCTTTTAGTCTTTTTCAGAGGGAGATAACAAAGAACATTCGCTTTATAAGCTGTCATTACTATTTATCTCAGAATATTTGGGGGCAGATAGCAGAAATCCATCTTGAATAGCTTAGGCAAAATGAATTCGGTGTAAAGCTTGTAATTTCATTAAGGGCAGGGGAATATCTAGACCTCAGGGACTCAAGTGCTACCAAAACGCGTTTTCTGTTTCTACTTTTCTACACGGTAATGTCCTTTTTCAGACCAGATTTCTTCATATGCCATCAGTTCCCAGGTCTCCAAGATTTACTGCTTGAAATAGTCTATATATCTTTAGTTGGCTATTGGTAGAAATCTAGAAACAAAAACTATAGCTAAGTTTGGATCATTTGCCCATTCCAAACCTATAGCCAGGGAATGCAGTGATGCCAATTGGGTCAGATGCTGTGTGGTCCAGGAGGTGAGCTTTCAATCAAAGTAAGTGCTTCGAATGGACGAAAGAACGTTTCCTGGAAGAAGAGTATAGAAGTAGAAAGAAAGGATTGGGGGCAGACAACATAAATGATTCTTACATGATACTTGCTAAATCTTTAAGTACTTCAGTTATCACTTAGTAGGAACACAATAACGCTTCTTGAATTCGAAACTGATGATTCCTCAGCAAAATTGATTCTGGTTTTTATTGTAGTTGTAGTCCAGTGCTTGCTCTTCACTTTATACCTTGGATCACGTAAGATACTTTTCATACTACTGTCAAACTCTAAATGTTGTATTCCTCAGTGGCTCATGATTGTTGCTTACTAACTTGATATTGGGTGATAAAAGTTAATATTTTTTATAGAACTTTATTATTTTTATTATTTTTTAGAAGTCATGTGAATGTGTATTTGGGTCCAAGAAATGTTTGGAACCAGAGATTCAGTGTCACCAGGACCTCTCTATCACTCTTAGCCCATGGTTAAACCCTGTTGAATTCTTCTGCAGGGTCTCTTGAGTTTTTTCTTTACCACAGCCACTCATTTAGTTTAGGTTCTGATTATACTACGTGTGACTTATAGCAGTGGGTTCCTACTTAGCTTAGTCTCCTTGGCAAAGTAAATCTCCCCCTGCTTAAGTCTATCTTGAACTATTTTTTTTTTAAGATTTTATTGGGGAATTGGGGAGTGGAACAGCGCCGGGAAATCGGGGAAAGGGGAACAGACAAGTTGCTGTTGTTTTGTTCTTCAATCTAGTTGTGGAGGATGTTGCTTCACTGGCCCAAGCTGGCACCATCATTGCGCTCTTCCCAGGCGAGGCAGATCAGTCGCCCGCCTCTGGACGGCCGCTCACACTGGCTGCCGGCTACACACGGTAGCCCATGGCAACCCACTGCAGCAGGGGCTGCAGCCTATGCCATCACCGGCGACCCACGGCAGCCCAGCCCCAGATTGAGCTGTTGTTCAGCATCTTAGCTGTAGAGGGCAGTGTCACTGGCCCTCATATGTGGGATCCGAACCGGGGCCCTCTGGCATCCCAAGCCAGCTCTTAACCAACACGCCACTCGGCTGGCCCTATCTTGAACATGTTTGTTTGTATGTATGATTTTCCTTAAGTCCTGCCAATGTGTCAATCACTGCTCAACAGCTCTCAGATTGAGTCAAAAGCATAGTATGACAGATCCTTTTAGAAACTAAGTAAAACTAGAGAAAAATAGTTAAAAGTAACAGCTCTACCTTTTTTTATTTACTACAAATACCCTCAGGATAATCTGCTTATTCATTTTTGTTTGTATACTTACGTAGTTGTTAATTCTTTTGACTTGAATGATTTTTTTCTCTCGGACATTTCTACTCCTGTTTTCAAATTGAAGCAGTTCTCCAAATGCATTGTGATCAGCTGCTTTTGGCTCTCCTCTGTTCTTTGCTTAGTCAATATTGGAGGTTTCGCTAAATATTTCTTGGAGAAATGCATTTTTATAAAGTGAGTCTCACTTCTCAAATGTGTATCCTAGGGGGAAAAGTCTTGACCTAAGCATAGGTGTCAGACATTCCACATTCCTGATAATGGTTTAAAAAACAAAAATTTCTATGCAGTTAGTGTGTCACCTATCCTGTTGATACAGCTAGATGTCAGATGTTAGTGATAAGCTATATTAAAGTTAATGATCAAGCTTTATTACCTCCCACTGGAAGGACTGATTGCAACTATTTTGTCTTAGAACTGTGAAATAAGTGGTTCTTAAGCTGATCCCATACCAGCAGCATCAGTATCACCTGGCACTTATAAAAAATGCACATACTTAGGCCCCACCTCAGCTTTGGGGTGAGACTTGGCAGTCAGTTTGAATAAGCTCTCAGAGTGATTCTGTTGCCCTTGAACATGAAAGACCTAAGGGTAGAGAGCCTGAGGACATTTATTTGATGATCTGCCTATTTTGTGTGATCTCTCGAAGTATCAGTTAATTGTAAAAATTAGAGGTAATAGTAACATACATTCAGATAGTTTTAAAGATGAAATAAATATGAAACAAACTCTTGATAAATTCTTAAGGCCCATGTAAATGTTAGTTGCAAACTTACACTGAAGTATGTTTCCTGGTTGGGCATTAGTTCATACTAATCATGTCAGTGGCTCTTATTCATAGTAGTGACTTCAGTTGTTAAACTTTCTAGTTTGTGGTGCAGAATGAGTATGGAAAGTATGAGCTGGGATTAGGAGGTCTAGGTATTATAGTAAAGTCCCTGTCAGTGCATCATGTTTCTTTCTGCTTGATTTTCTTATTTATAAATGTAGCAAAGCTTCCATCTGATACTTTTAAAGATCTAATGAGATTGTGTAATATTCTCACTGTGCTTTTCTTATTTTTGTCTATGAAATGCCTGGCACATAGAAGACACTTTATGGCAGCTATTTGTTATTGCATATACAACAAGCCTTTTCTATGTCTTTCTCTTAATTCTACTTTTTTCTTGATTTTGAAGTTCTGTTTTAGTTCTTAAATCCTGACTCCAAATTCCCAAGTTTGTCTCCTACAGCAGTTCCTTGGTACATGGACTAGATATCCTCATGGACTAGATCCTTGAACACCTCAAACACACTGTATTATTGTACTTCGAGAATCACAATAGGAGATGTCATTTCAGTAAGCCAGCTGGTCATTGAGCTGGAGTGGTAGTACCTTGCCTGACAATTAGCGCTTCTCAGGTTGTGGCTGCCACGAGTTCATTAGTTAGGGCTCTCAGAATTGATTTCTCTTTCAGAAACAAGATTAACAAACTGCCTTATAGCTAGCATATCAATGTATGATATGAAGTAGAAATTGAAACAGCATTTTCGTCCTATTTCTATAAGAAAATTTTTTCAAATTATAATCGTTAGTTGCCTCTTGAACATGAATTCTGAGTTTTGTGATCTGAGTGGTTAGTGTCATCAGGTTGTATCATCCAGCAGGATGTACCCCTCTTCACTGCAGCAATGCATTTACCCATCTCCACTGCAACAATATATTTAACACACTGGGTCCAAATATATTTCTGTTTATGAATAAACTAAAATGCTGGAGAAATACAAAACATGTCCTGTTTCATGATTACTCTTTTGCTAGGTTCTAAGCTCATTCTGTTAAGGTTTTTTATGTGTGTGTTATATTCAGGTGATTTGTGTTAAATTGTTTTATAATTAGAATTCTGTCATGTTTCCCTGATTTTTATGTTAGTAATCATATTGATTACTGATTAGATTGAGTACCTTATATAGGAAGCTGATTTCATTTTACTGCATATGGATATTCCTTCATTTTGCTCTTAGGGTATTTTTTTTGTGGGATTTGGGGGAGGTCCCTGGCTGGGGCAGCATGGAGTACTGATAAAGAGTGTCGGCTTTTGGAATTAGAGTTCAAACCTGGCCCCACTACTTGTAACTTGTATGATTTGGAGAGAAATGACTTAACAGTCAGCCTCAGTTTTCTCATCTATAAAATGAAGATAATATGACAACTTTTTAAGATAAATAAGAAGGATTGCATGAGATGATTTTATATGTAATTGTAAATAACCCTAAAAAAGAACATATGGCTAGTGCAATCCAGTATCATTCCTGTACTATATCATTGCTGTTTTCTTTTAATGTATTTGGTCTGACTGAATTTCATCTCCCTTTGTATTAATTGATGGTATACATTAACTGAATTGATTGCACAGAATAGTTTTAAACCCATGTCACTTTTTATTATACTTAAAGATTTCGTTGTTAGCCATTTGAGTTGGTCAGTCTCTTATAAAAATTCTTAAAAGACTAGAATTTTCTTATCTTTCAGAATTATTTTGTTTCACATTTTATGATTTGAGAATTCTTGATACAGTTCTGAGATTATATGTATGGAGTTAATACTTTATAGATTTGTGAATTATAGGAATATGAAATATCACTTATTCAGAAATTAACTTTATTTTGGTGTATTTAGGAAGGCGACATGCCAATTCATGAACTTCTCAGCCTTTATGGTTATGATAGTACTATTCGACTGCCTGAAGAAGATGAGGATGAGGAGGAAGAGGAAGAAGAAGGTGACGATGATGAAGATGCTGATAATGATGATAACAGCGGCTGTAGTGGGGAAAATAAAGTAAGGTTATATACATATATTTTTACTTCATTCTTGTCGGAGTTATAATTTATGAGTACATTCATTTTGACTGCTTATTTTTAGAATCTGTCTTTATTCTTTCTGATTTTAAAAGTAATACATTTAAATGTTAAAAATTAAGATACAGAAATATGTAATAAAAATTGGATGTCCCCTGTAATCCACTCCTGAGAGGTAATAGTTTTGTCCGTATTGTTCAGATTTTTTTTTAAAGGCCTAGACAGATTGTATTTTTTGCAATTTTTTTTTTTTTTTAAAGATTTTACTGGGAAGGGGAACAGTATTGGGGAATTGGAGAAGGGGACCAGCCAAGTTGTTTTCCTTCAATCTTAGTTGTGGAGGTTGCAGCTAGCTCAGCTCCAAGTCCAGTTGTCATCTGTCTGCCCGTTGGCAGCTCGCAGCCACTGAGCTCAAGGTGCTGTATTCAATCTTAGTTGCAGGGGGTGCAGTCTACCATCCCATGTGGGAGTCGAACTAGAAACCTTGTTGTTAAGAGCGCGTGCTCTCACCAGCTGAGCCATTCTGCCAATCTGTTGGCAACTCAGATCAGGTGCAGCTCACTGGCACATGTGGGAATTGAACCGGCAACCCTGTTGCTCAGAGAGCGCTCTTAACCAACTGAGCCACTCAGCCGGCCCTCAGATTTCTTTTCAATGCCTGTTCTAAATACATTTGTATCAATTTTTTAAAAATACTATTTTTAAGTAATAAAGGCTAATTGGCCGTTCTCTTCGTTTTTTTGTTTTATGTTGTTTTGAAATAATTTTAGGTTTACAGAAGAGATTCTAAGATAGTACAGACTTTTTATATGCTCTTCACCCAACTTCCCATAATGTTAACATCTTATGTAACCATGGCATATTTATCAAAACTAAAAAATCAACACTGGTACCATGGTATTAATTAAACAATATACAATTCAAATTTCACACGTTTTTCCACTAACTTCCTTTTCACTGTTTCAGAATCCAACCCAACCGTGTTGCAATTAGTGTATTTACTTTAGTCTTCTGGTTGTATTTGGAATACTATGACCTTTTATCTCCAACAATTTTTTTTATATCTTAAAGAAATTTAATTAATGATCCACAGGAAGAGAATATAAAGGATTCATCAGGTCAAGAGGATGAAACTCAGTCTTCCAATGATGATCCATCACAATCTGTGGCTTCTCAAGATGCCCAGGAAATAATTCGCCCACGTCGATGTAAATATTTTGACACAAGTAAGTGTTATTGGTTGCTATAGTTTGGATCTAATTTTTTACTCTTTAATATATGACCTAAAATTCTAGTTTCTTCCACCCCCACCCCCACTGCTCTATTTGAATTTACTTTGAAATCTCACTCAGCAGTAATGAGAATTTATTCTAGGTTATTAGTTCTCAATGCTAGGCTCAATTGTTCATGAATATACTACAGGAATTGTGTCACTATACTACTTGGTTTTGAGTGTGCTCTGCTCCCCCTCCCTCCACGCATTTTTAAATTTAGTTTGTTTCATGGTCATCTTTTTTTTATTTCTCCTAGCCTTTCCCTTAGTTTTCATTTTCTACTTTCTTTGCCTCTTAGCCTTTTATAGATATATTCATAAGTATTGCTTTCTTTAATCAATGGTTCCCAGGTCTAAAGAAGTCGTTAACTCTTGAGGTAGGAATATGTTATACATAGAAAGAACTCTACTAATTTTTCTACAGTTCTGATCTAATCAGAGATGACCAGTAGTCGAGACAACATTTAATGTGTCTGTCTTGAATATTTGCATGCTTCATCTCCACAAAGTTTCATTCTAAACAGGAATCATTCAATACTCTAGAAGGCAGCTCTTTAATAAGAAAAAGTCAACCATTAGTGTTAATAGGTTAAATTTGTGGTCTAAATTTCTGTACTTTAAAATGAAGAAAAACACTCGAAGAATAATAACCTCATAAAATGTAATGTAATAACTGCTTAAACATGGCTACTGTTTTGTATGAATGATTTCTGTTGCTAATTTATTTAAAAGTAAATGTAGTTCTGCAAACACTTTTATTGTGTTTTGATCGAAGATATGGTTCAACTGAAAGGTGTACCAATGCAAGAAGAGATTAGTTACTAAAATAATTTGTTAATTTTAAGTTTGGGGAAAGGTAGTATTAATCCCTTAAACTGAGAGCCAGGTCCATTGCCAAAGTGGCATGCTGAGTGATTACCTCTTGAAACAATATTTATTTTATACTTGTAATCTGGTATTTCAGTTGTGATGTTTGCATGGAAGCTGTACATCGACTGCCTATCTTAGTTTTGTCATAGGAAGAATTAATTTCTTTATGTAATGTTCTTTTTGAACTTTGTGTACCATTTTAGAGTTGAGAAGATGCCGAGCGTTGACTAGTTTTCAGATTCCACTTTTTTTTTTTTTTTAAAGATTTTATTGGGGAATCGGGGGTAGGGAAACAGACAAGTTGCTGTCGTTTTTTGCTCTTCAGTCTAGTTGTGGAGGATGTCGCTTCACTGGCCCAAGTTGGCACCATCATTGCGCTCTTCCCGGGTGAGGCAGATCAGTCGCCAGCTTCTGGACGGCTGCTCACAGTGGCTGCTGGCTGCTCATGCTCGCTGCCGGCTACACACAGTAGCTTATGGCAGCCCACTGCAGCAGGGGACTGCAACCCACGCTGTCGCCGGCAACTCATGGCAGGCAAGCTCCAGGCTGAGCTGTAGAGGGCAGTGTCACTGGCCCTCATATGTGGGATCCGAACCGGGGCCCTCTGGCGTCCCAAGCCAGCTCTTAACCATCGCACCACTCGGCTGGCCCTTATAAATACATTCTTAATCCAAAATGTAAACACACAGCAGCTTGCCTGCTCTGAATAAAATGATAGTTGGGGAGAAGGGAGGTCTTCATACATACCCTCCCTTCATGTGCTTTCCCCCAAAATGATGCTATAAAGTTCTCAGTGTTTCAAGGAGCACTGTTTGGAAACCACTGTTTTGTCCTAATTCTCATTTTATAAGGAAGAAATTAAAATCATATAATTCTGCCACCAGGCTGTTGGTAGCAGAATTAGGTTTAGAAACAGATTATTTTGATTCTAAATCAATTTTTTTTTCCTGAAGATTTTGCAGGAAATCATTTCATGAGAATATAGTTGTCTAATATTAGGATTGTCCTAGAAGGTTTATGGATTTTGTTTTTTTTTCTTTTTTAACTGATAACGGTATTCTTTGATTAGTAATATTTTGGCCTAACCCTGCAAATACCTTTGGGCATATTTACATATTTTCATGGTAGATGTAGAAATAAAATACAAACAATATAGATGTTGGCAGGATAAGCAATCATTTTATAATAATATTGTCTTACTTATTCTAGATAGCGAAATAGAAGAAGAATCTGAAGAAGATGAAGATTATATTCCATCAGAAGACTGGAAGAAGGTAGGTAGAGCCATATTTTTCAAAAACTTAGATAAATTAATATTTAAAAAGACAAGTGTAATTATTCTTTTACTAACACTATATGTTGATAAAGTTGAGGTAAGCCCTTTTGTGACATTTACATATTAGGTAGATGTTCATATTTCCCTTAATACATTCAGATGACAAAAGTATTTAACTTTTTATAGAATAACATAATGGGTTAGAAATAATTGGCCTTTGTGTGGAGCAAGTTGGTACTCAAACCAAGATTAGATATCCAAATTTCTGAACTAGTGCTGAATTAGACTTTTATGCACTGTAAAAAGTATCACATTAGTTTTTTTTCTTAATACTTGGGAAAGCAATTGTGGAGGCTTTGACTTGTTAAGTAAATTTTGTTTAATTTAGATACAAATTTTTCCATCCTAGATTAATGTTGATATTTACAACTCCAAGTGTATTGTGAAGAGATGGATTTGGGCTTCTTGAAAACTGCACAATTAATTTCTAAAATGAATCTAAAGATACTATATTGACATAAGTTTTAAATTATAAAATTGCATAACATTGTTTAATCAGACAAATTAACTTTATGCTGTTGCAAAGCAGTTGACTTATGAAAATGTATCAAAATGTCATGTAAAATTTTTTAGAGCAAATCATTTATATAGAAGAAATTATATCATTCTTGTTGAGATAGATCACCTGATTTTTCTCTTAAAGACTCCATTTGGAGTTTTTTCTTTTTCCTAGGCCTGATTTTAAATTTAGAGCATAAACAGTCATTTCTTTAAAAGCAGAATAGCCCAGAACATCAAATTGGGTGGCTTTCTGCATTTCTTAAGTTGTGATTCTTTTAATTATTTAGTTAATACCTTTGAGCTTACCCTGTTGTTTTGTTTGTTTGTTTGTTTGTTTTTAGTTGGTTTAAAGTTGTATGAGTTGGGATGCCTCTGGCAAACTTAAAAAAGAGCTGACACTCTTGCTGATTAAAATAAGGGAACACCATATTTAGAGTTTCTGTTAGGAAGAATGAGGTATTCAGATGAACTTGGACTGGGCTACCCCAGGATTCTTCAGCCAGAATTGATCTAGTTATGGGTTTCCAAAGAGATGTTTAGAAGAGAGAGACATCAGTTTGGGTTAGAATGGTAAGGGAAAGTTAGCCTAGTATAGAATGTGTTAATTAATTTGAGTGAGTGGTGAATTAATGATGAGACTGAAAACAGAAAACAGAGATCACAGAAGTTACTATTTGACCTTTTTGGGCAGAGAGTTTTTAATCCTTTTTTTTTTTTTTCTCTGATTTTTACATCATGTAGAAATTAAGATGATAAAATCTAGAAACTTTGGGAGTCATCTTAAGCAGATATTGTCCACCCACATATCAAATTATATACGTTTTCTCCAACATAAATCAACTGTTTTGTATCTGGCGTGTTCAATATAGTGCATAATTAAATGTTATTTCATTTATTTTTTTAATAATGGAACAAAACACTCAGAGGAGGGAGAACAGGGTAAAGGTGAAGCCTTCTTTGCTGGGGAATATTAGCTGCTGCTTCAGGAAAAATATGTAATAAAGCAGGCCATGGTAAATCCAGGTTGCTTTATTTTAGTGTGATTTTGTTGCAGTAAAAAAGTGTCCAGATGTAGAGATTCATCTTCTAAGGCTTGTAAGATAAAATTGAATTGTTATAGAAACGGGGGTGGAGGAAACAGCTTTGAAATCAAACCTGAGTTCAAGTTATACTCATAATGTGTTCTGGAGGAAATTAAGTTTTTTGAGTTTCATCTCTTCACATACAATATGGAAATAAATTCAGCCTTGCCAAAGTTGGTGAGGAATTAATGAAAATTACACATAAGATACTTGGTGCATAAATGCTACTAAATGCTATTTCCCTTCCCTTGCTTACAGAACAAATTAGCAGGTGAAAACAAGTGTTCTGAACTCAATATGGAAAACGAGGTATCTTATCTTTATACTAGTTCAGAAGTTCTCAACCCTGGCTTCATGTTAGAATTACTTGGAGGACTTTCAAATACTGATTGCCAGGGCCTTCATCCAGAGATTGTAGTTTAATTGGTCTGCAATAGATCCAGGCATCGAGATTTTTAGAAGTGCCCCATCCAGGGTTGATAACTATCTATTCTCTGATAGGTATAGGTGAGTAAAGTTAAAAGAGGCTCAAGAAATAACAGTAAAGCACTCTTTTTTATTTTGTTTTTGTTTTTTTTTTAAGCTGAGCCATCCTGCCACCTGTTGGCAGCTCAGCGGCTGCTCAAAGCACTCTTTTTTAAAATGAAAGACAAAGAAAATTCCTGTATAACAGTACAGAAAATTTGTGTGTGATACTATTTTTAGAAAACTGACTGGTTTTCCTGTACAGGTGCAGCAGTAAATTTATTACATAGAGGATGTCTTAGAATTTATACTAGATAAAATGAGATCCTAATATCAGTGGTGGTAACAGTAACTGGAGAGGGGAACTTTTCAAATCCTAAGAGTTATTTAAACTTACTACACCATGATTTTGTACCTTTCCTTCCCCAGTAAATTTATTCTTAGCATTTGCCACCAGACAAAAGGGTCCGTGTAATCTTGGTCCCCGTGTGTTGTAAAATCTCATCAGTGGTGATCTCCAGTGTCTTTCTGTGGTTCTGAACAGCCAGTTTCCCCTAATCTGTGATTTGACTATATGTTTTTGATGACCAGATTTCCTAAAAGATTTAATTATGTTTTGGGGAGGCTACTTTTTCATTTTGTGTTGTTCTCATGAAAGTTAGGCACTAACCTGCCTATCCTTTTGGTTTGGAGTTGCATTCATTTGACCTCTACTGAGCTTTATACAAATTCTGTTATTACTTCTTTTATCTAAAAGCTTTGGTTTTCAGACCTAAGTCTGTGTCAGAATCACCTGGACAGCTTGTTAAATCCTGGTTCAGTAGGTCTGGGGGAGCACCTGAGCATTTATTTGCATGTCTATCAATTTCCCAAGTGACACTGATGCTGCTGACCCAGGGACCATAGTTTGGAGTGTAGATAGATATTCTGAAAATATCTGGGTTTGACTTTCTATTTTTCAGTGTTTGTAATTCTTAGTAATTTAATGGTAAGAATCCATTTTTCTTTTTCTGCATATCTTGAAGTAAAGTTTATGTTCATTGTCTCTATTGCATTTTACCCCATTATTATTCCTAACATTTTCATCCAATCACATCCAAGCTGCTATCTATTACTACATTCATCCTCATAATACTTCTCTGAGGTAGTTACTTGGTTTTATCTGTATTTTATGACAGAGAGACCAGGAACAGTTTACCATCACCAACAGTTTACATTACCATCAAGAAGATGGTAATGCTAGTAAGTGGATATAAAACCTGTTACTAGATCTCACTAATATTTGATTTTATTTTTAAAATAGGAGATTATGGTGGGCTCCATGTTTCAAGCAGAAATTCCAGTTGGCATTTGTAGATACAAAGAAAATGAGAAAGGTGGGTTATTAGTAAAGTTAATGTTGTTAAATTCATGCTTTTGAAGTGATGATCTGTTGTTTTATAATGGGATAAAAACATGACAGTTTATGTTATCCCAATGATTTATGAAAGAGGACCTTGCATTATTTCTATTAATAAGAAATATATTTTCTGTTTTTCTAGTTTTGTCTATACAAGTCTAGTGAAAAAAGTGAGTTCTTTTTCGTTAAGTGACTTAAAACAACCCAACTTTTTTTTTTCATGTTTAAATACTCTGAATATACCCTTTCATAGCCTGTATAATTAAGGTTTTAAAAGTTATTTTATGTCAGTGGAAGCTGTTGGACAGGTTTAAAAAGAAACGAGTTAAAGTACTGATATAAAAAGCTTATTAGCTTCTGAAACTTAATATTACCACTAAAGTAGAGTACTCTGATATTTGTGTATTTAAAATAATTTGGGAAAACAACTTGTATACTTAAATTTTACATGATTGTTTTCATCATTTTATCTACACGCCCCAAGGTAAGTCATAAATACTTAAACTTCTAATAACATAAAATACTTGAAGATTTTTTTTTTTTTTAAGTCTGTTGCAGATTATTCATTTTGGGTGAGTTCCAGAGAGAGAGAGAGTTTCAGTGAGATCATGTGCAGTTTGACTTCACTCAGTGCTAGAAATCTTTATTTTTTTATTTCACTTTTTTTTCTCATTTCAAATTACACATGCAATTTACCATCAAATTACCATCTTTTGGAATTGTAGAAGTCTTTTGTTGTTTTGTTTTCTTTTTTAGCATTTCTTCCAAAAATTTGCTTTATAGTCTGTATACCTGCTTTCAAAGTAAGCAGCAGATTAGAGGCAGTTAAGGGAACACCTCAGGCTAATAAATTTTAGTGACAGCAAAAATGTTTTAATACACCAGTAACAACTTATACACACTTTGAGGTTAATTCCTGCAACATATAGGAACATTAAAGGTATCAATATGGAGTGACCTTGTCATATATTGAAGTTCTGTGCATATGTTTTATGAATGCATTGTAATTGGGTGCAAAAATAAATTATCCATTATTTTTGTTTTTATTTTTGTAATTATGGATGTTATTTTACTTGTTACATAATGGTTAACAGTAAATGTTCGACACTGAGTTCTTTCTCTTCACATGAACTGAGAGTTAGATATTTGTTCCATTTTATTAAATTTCTTTATTAAGGAAACTTGCAAACTCATTAAATTTTGACTGGAAGATAGTGCCTATTTTTGAAAATTGTGTGTTTTGTAGGTGGGTAGGAAAATATCTCAGTTTTATATGTGGCAAGTTAATATTGTGGCTAAAAGTAGGTTGAATTATCTCTTAATATGCTTTATCTTTTTTATTTTAACATGTTTGTATTGTCAGGACAGTGAATACATGATCACAATTTCTAATTTTTAATGTTTTAAATTTTGGTTTAATGTCTTCAGATTTAACATAATTTTAGAAAGCAGTTATAGTTAATTTTTTTCAGGAAAAGCAGTGATTTATGAAGCTCTCTCGCTTTGAGGATTGAAGCATTAGATTGTGTGAGGATCAGACTAGATTGAGCAAGGCGATACTGCCTTGGAAGGGTCACTGTGGTAGCCACTGCTCAGCTGTGTAGTTCCAGGAGTTCACACTTTGGTCATGATACCCAGAATTTGTTTCCTCTTAGGGAACAGTGCATACAAACCAAACTTATGTGACACTATTAAGTAAACCGTACTGTTAGAAATAAAGCTATCCAAAGGATAGGGCTAATTAAAGTGCATTTCTTTCTTACAGAGAGAAATTTACAAGGAGTTTTTCATTAGTTCCATGAGCACACATTCAAAAGAGAGAGCATTTGGTTTGGGTGATTTGGATAAAAGTGCCATAAAACTGAGATATTGTGACATTTTTACTGTAGGAATTATTTGACAGGTAGATTTGAATTTTTTCATTGATATAAGGAAACCCTATAATTGAGTATCCTGGAGAGACATTGATAATTTTTTTTTCTGTGATATCTTAATTTCTTTTTTACTAGATTCTATGCAGATTATGTAGTGCTCATCAGCTATGACTCCAAATTCAAACAATTATTAAATAAGATTTATTAGTTACAGTTACATTTGAGGCATGTTCCTTTGAACCTGTATCTATTTTGGTTACAAAAGCTCAACTACACACTAACATTTTCTTAAATTTATGTAAATTATCATTCTCAACACAGTATACTATAATCATTTGTTTCTTCTTCATTGTATTCTTAATACCTAGGATAATCCTTGTCATATAAGCACTTAGTAAACATTTGTTGGCTGAGATAGTAGGTGCGTTCAGAAGGGTGTTAACAGAACTAATATAGAGTTAGTAAACATAGTATCTGGCACATAGCAAGTGCTTAGTGGCATTAATAGTCAGCGGGGGATTAATGTTACCCATTATATTTAGGTTTCATTCAGATTTTCATAAAGCATCAGTTTATGCTCTTTTGCTTGCAGGTGACAAAAACCCAATTCAGTTTAGCTTCCGCATAAGAGAATTTACGTGATTGCTTTACCTGGAATGTCCTGGCTTCAAATACAACTAGATTTAGGAGTTCTCATTGTATCAAGTGTCGATTCCCTCTCTCTTTCCTTTATTGTCAGACAAGATAAGATGGCTACTGGGAGCTGCTGGCTTATACTTTATGCTGTCCTTATAGTTAGAGAACCAGCAAAAAGGAGAACTTCCCCACCCCCTTTTGCTCTAGCAAAAATCATGGCGAGAGAGCCTCTATTGACTCATCTTGAGTCCCATACCCAGCCAGAAGATGAGAGTACTTTGGCTTGCCCTGGCTCATGTATCTGTTCTTGGGGCTCCCAGAGGTGGTGTCAGCCCCACTGAGACCATATAGAAAGTGTTTAATTCCCAAAGAAGTGCTAGGCAGATACAGCGCATCATTTTTCAAAGTTATGTGTGTTTTATTGTCACACCCATGTACAAAACTGAGTAAACACTGCAACTTTGTGATAAGACTGAATAATTTGAATGCTGGTAAAAGTCCTACAGTGCACAGGATTGCACCTCCCCATCACCCCACCGCTAAGAATTATCTGGCCAAAGTGTCAGTAGTGCCAGGATTGAGAACCCTGGACTAAGTTAACTGAGCATTAGAGGAGCTGCTTAGGAAAAAAGGGAAGTCATGGTTCAAGGGATTCTCAGTCAAATTTTCATGCTTGCATGATGTACGTTTTAGAATAAGTAAATAATGCTTAGGAGTTATGAAGCAGTGAATAACAAAGGACCATGTGAACTGTTGTTTCTAATGAACATTTGGCAATTTGATTCTTAAGTTACTGAAAACTGAACATGCATTGCCTTAGTGATATAGTAATAATACTGTTGAAACAGGTATTTCATTTAACCCATACAGGTTTCCCTCGCTTCCAAAAGTAGAGCATTCCAATGAAACCTTTCATAAGCGAAATGGCATAAAACCAAGAAGCAATTATAATGGTGTTTCCCCCCTTATTCACAGCGATACATTCCAAGACCACCCCCACAGTAAAACCAAAGAGAGTACCAAATCCTGTGTATACTGTTTTTTCTTATACATGCATAACTATGATAAAGCTTAATGTATAAATTAGGCACAGTAAGAAATTAACAACAATAATGACTAGAACAATTATAACAATAGACAGCAATAAAAATTATGTGAATGTTGCCTTTCTTAAAATATCTTATTGTACTCTATTCACTCTTCGTGTGATGATGTGAAATGATACAATGGCTATGTGGTGAGATGCAGTGAGGTAAATGATGTGGATATCTTCAGACCACAGTTGACTGCGGGTAACTGAAACAACAGAAAGCAAAACCGTGTATAAGTGGGAACTACTGTACCATATATGGAAAATTTTTTGGGTGTTCCTAGATCCAAAAAACAACCTACCAAATTATACCAAGTAACACATAGAGCCTAAAATAACATTAACATATAGCAAAAGCAGGAATGATAAAAGGCTTTTCTGAACCTTAGGGCACGTTTTGCAAACAGATGCACAAAATAAATCGAGATAAAGCACAGATGCGCACATGGCTCAGAGTTATCTATGGTGGCTTGACGCTGAGTGTCTTTCCCAGGGCAGAAGCATGGCTGTCTCCATTACTGCAGCACATGCTGAACTCTATTTTCACTTTTTGCCTTTTTTCATAAAAGTAAAAATTCTCCTCAGATATCTTTTGGTTAGTGAAAATAAGTACTAATATAGGTCTTTCGTAAAAGTGAAGTGATATAACTGTAACATTGGAAAAGTGGGGCATATCTAGACATAGGAAAGACTCAGCTAGACAACTTAACGTGCATGTTATTAGTCACAGTGTGATCTTTGAAGAATGGAAATTTCTGTTGTAAGCCTCATTACACCATGATGCTGATTATGGATCAGCATTGTCATCCTCATAATATATATATATTGATTAGATAGAATTTTTACTTAGGCATTAAAATGGAATAACACTTAAAAACCCCTAAAACTGGAGGTTAATACATATACATTTATTCATTGAGAATTAATTTCCCAGATTGCAGAAGTTTGTTTATGGTTTTTGTGGTGGTTTCTCAACTTTCTACCCCCAACTCCCACATACATATAATAAACTTTGTTAAATTATTTTGACAACTCATTTTGCTTATCTGACAAGCTTAATTTGGTTGTTTAAAATGCCATAAGAAGCACTTCCCCAGCTAACCTGGGTTAATGTACTAGGTAAACTCCTGCCTTTTAAACTCTTTGATATAATCATGTAAATTATATATTCCAGTAATATAAGGCACAGTTGCTTTTTAAAAGTTTGAATATTTAGGTTTCGTAATTCATTTAGAATGACAGTTTCAGAAGATGCCATTACAGTTCAGTGATTGTGAGCTTTCAAAATCCAGCATGTTCATGTCACTTGGTGTAATTACCATAAAGAGTATTTTTTCTTTGTTGCTATTAAAGAGTTTTTTCCTTCATATTTATAGACATTATTTTTCCTTAGTATTTTAGTGTATTTTATCTTAGTGGAGGTCTTCTGAATTTCTGATCTCTTGGCATTTAGTTCTACAACAGACATTTAATAAGTATCAACTGTGTTATACCTGTTTTATTTAAATCATAGTCAGAAGTCATTTTATTTAGAATGTAAACTTAACTGGAAAGTAATTTGGTAGGTTTTGGGAAAGGCAGTGTGGTTTTATTCTCTGAAAATGCTAATTAATTACTACATGGTCATTTTTTAGTATATTGTAATTGTGTAAGAAGTGTCATAGTCTCTGGCTATCTAGTTCTAGGGGTCTGGCTTGTCTCTAGGTGCCATCTGGTGATGCTTGTGTATTCAGCTTAAATAAGGACATCTCTGTGTCCTCTGCCTCCCTGGGACTTCTAGAATGATTCCAGAAGTATCTCCCAGGGAGTTTGTGCTTGCTTCATAAGCTTTATAAGGGGGTATCCTATTGGGAGAACACTGGGGACTCAGGGACCCACCCTCCATCTTCCTCTTTCTGAGTCCACCCCCTACCCATCACTCCAGGAATATATGGTAGTTTGCTCCCTTTGGGGAACGGAGGCTGAGCAGAGAACAGACATGAATAGCAGTGTATCTGAATTCATTTTATCAGGAGTTTTATTTATTTACAATATAAAGTCACCAGGGTTGTATCAGATTAAAAAAGGAATGAGATTTACGAAGCTTCAACAAATTATCTTTCCTTTGAGCTGTATTTTAAAGAAGAGTATAAATCTTGGGAAACAGAAAGGTAGAACAACATTTTAAAGTGTATGAGTGTGGTAGGAGGCCGGAAGCGGCCAGGGAATTTGTTTGAAAACACTTAACATAGTGCCTGGTACACAGGAAGTGTTTAATTAGCTGTGTTAATTTCTTTCTCATAACAAAAGGAATTTTGACACTGTCGGTTATGCTTTGTCTCTTCAAAATCTTTCTGCAGCTGGCTGTTTCCTATTGGCATTTAAATGATTATGTCTCCTATCTCCAGCAAACAACACCAAAATCTTTGTTCAGTTATACTTCCTCTTTAGCTCCTGCCCTATCTCCTGCCTCACGACCAAACTTTTCACTAGTTTCTACTTTATTTTTTCACCTCCCATTTACTCTTCAGTCTCTAGTATGGCTTCGGCATCCATCTCTGCACAGAATGTTCTTGAAACTTTTCCCTCCTTGTTAGTAAATCGATCGTACCTTTTTCAATTTCCAACCTGGTCATTTACTAGCATTTAACCAGTCTATTACTCCTTGAAACATTTTCGTCCCCTCACTGCTACAGTGCCACACTTGTGGTATTCTGTCTTTGTGACTATTCCTTAATTTTGTCTCTGCTTTCATCTTCCTGTCATTTAGAATGCCATAAGTTTTCATCTTAGGTTCTCCTCCTGTTCACTTTTAAATTTTGATGTGATTTGGGATTTCATCTTCTTATAATGAAAATTCTGGTGAAACCTAAATGCTTTTTTTAAAAAATGTCATGACTTTCGTTATAATGAAAGTTGGTTATTATTTCATCATTAATTTTCATAGGAAAATTAAAGAAGAAAAAATTGCCCAAATCCACCACCAAGAAATAAGCAGTGTTAACATTGGGTGGTGAGCAATCTTTTAGCTACCCCTTTTCAAAAATAATGAACATCCATTGAATCTTAATATATGCCAGAATTGTTTTAAAGTGCTTTAAATCCTTTCAACCCTACGGGACAGGGTTGTCAATTCCCATTTCAGAGATGAGGCAGGGAGAAGGGAGGTTAACTGCCCAACGTAGTAAGTGGTTATAATGCTATTCAAACTAAGAGAGCTTGGAATTTGGTAAACTCAAGCAAGCTAAGTCAGACTGGATTTAAAAGGGGCATAAAGTGGTACTTCTCTGTTTAGATTGCTTACTCAGGCTATGAATATTACCCAAGAACGAAGTCAAGCAGCTAGTAGGACTACAGTTCTACCTCTCCGCTCTTAACATTTTGGATCTAAGTATGAGTTACTTGTTCAATGATATGTTTTAATACAGACTCTGTCAGTTTTTGGCATTTTAAAAAATATTGTGTTTTACTAATTTAGTATATGAAAATGACGATCAGCTCCTGTGGGATCCTGAGTACTTACCGGAAGATAAAGTGATTGTGTTTCTTAAGGATGCATCCAGAAGAACAGGTGATGAGAAAGGTGTAGAAGCAATTCCTGAAGGATCTCATATAAAAGACAATGAACAGGTACATGAATAAGAAGTAACTTAAATTTTTCCCAAAATAAATTAACCATATACATTTTTAAATGTAAACGCTATCATATTCAGTGTTGTTATCCTATCCACCAAAATTCCTATGTTTTCAGCAGAATCTGAGGTTATAATCAGCATAAGATACGTAGTAGTAACACCCTTCATTGGTATGATTTTAGCTCAAGTAAACAAAAATCTTGATATTTTAGTTTGCCTGTATATATTGTTTATTAGGCTTTCTGAAGTTCTTTGGACATCCCTGAGAATCTGGATGTCATCAAATTTGGAATACACATCTGGTATAATGTTATTAGGCACATGGTAGACCAGTGCCTACCACAAATCTAATGACAGCACTATATATTTTTTTATCTTTTTTAATCAGTGTTTTCTGATTTGTTTAAAATTAGCATAGGAACCCCAGGATGCCAAAGGGGGAGAGGGGGATGATCTTTATAAAATAATTCTATTTCTAAATAGCTGGGATACTGTGGCTGCCAAGTTAAAGTGTTTGCTTATCCTATTTTCTACATATTTGGAGGCAGTTAATTATCAGGATGGAATTTGTGTTTGATTTTCCTTAATGTTCTATATGTTGCATTCACTAGCATTATTTGTCCTCCAGAAAGGATGAGAAAAACACTGGATGCTGGAAAAGCCTTTACTCTTAAGAAATTGTAGTTTTGAACTGTTCATAGTCTGGGTCTCATATTGAAGCTCTTTATTTTTCTAGGCATTATATGAATTGGTTAAATGCAATTTTGACACAGAAGAAGCATTGAGAAGATTAAGATTTAATGTAAAAGCAGCTAGAGGTAAGCATAAATATTACATTTTATTTGTTTTCATGACATAGCAGAAATATAAAGCTTAAGTAAGCTCTTCAATCTGCGTAGCTGTATCCTAGGTTTAATAATACCGATCTTTCTGAATTCAGTAAATATTTGCTGAATAACAAAGAACTTGTTAAATAACTTGTGTATAACACAAGTATTTTACAAGGCATTATGGGGAATGGGATTAAGGCTGTCCCTTTTTTAGGGAAAATACGTAAGGCCATTTAAGTCAAAATACATAATGCCTTTGAATTTCAACACATTTTTATAAATATTTTCTTATTTGATCTTGGTACTAGCCCTATGAGCTAAGTAATGTGACAGATGTTACCTTCACTTTAAAATTAATAAGACTGAGCTCTGAACTGACGTAACTTAGCTAAGGCAAACATAATTCATAAATAATGAAGCCATAACTGAAATCCAGGTTTGGGGTTTTTTTGTTACTCTAAACTGGCTCCCACCCTGCTTCAGTAAGACTGCTGCTTATATATTATGTAACAAGTGGAAGATACTCATTCCTCCAACAAAAATTAGAGGGCCTACTGAGTTCTAAGTTCATAACTATCAACAAAGTCCCTGCCCTCATCATGGTGCTTGGAGCCTAGGAGTTCTTCATAGAAAATTAGAGGGTACATTTCAGACTTACTACAGTGGCTTAACCTAGTCAGGGGAAAGGGTGAAGCTGTTAGGGAAAACTTCTAGAACTAAGTGATACTATTGCTGGGATGTAAACAAATCAGCGAGGTGAAAGGGAAGTGAGGTATAGGAGGCAGGAAACAATTCTAGGCTAAAGGAACATCATGCGCAAAGTCTAAAGAAAAACATGGCAAATTTAAGGACTTGAAAAGTCACTAGTATAGTGAGATCATAAAGAATAAAGGAGCAGGTGGCCCAAATTAAGGTTGGAGAGTTAGGAACCACATCATCCAAAATTTTACTGAGGAATTTTTGTCACTTCATATTTTGCAGCCATCAGTAATAGAGTTTAGGATAAATACTTGCCTCATTGTGACCAGAAGTTATATTTTTATTTGCAGTTTGTTTGTTATATACACCATTTGGGGGAATATTGCTTAACAGTTTTTTTTCCCCCATTTTGTCAGAGGAATTATCTGTTTGGACAGAGGAAGAGTGTAGAAATTTTGAACAAGGGCTGAAGGCCTATGGAAAGGATTTTCATTTGATTCAGGCTAATAAAGTAAGTAATTATATGTGTTCTCTTTTTTACAGAAAGAAATTTAGTTAACAAACAACCCAGATCATCTTATATCTTATTTTCTAATGTTAAAAGTTCTATAATGAATATTTTAATATATTGATTTTTTTAGGGAATTATTATAAGCATGCCTAGACTTTCTGGCATACATTTGCCAAGTGACTGTTTTTAATGTGTGATATTAGAAGCCTTTAAGGATTGGACTCCTTTATAAGGATGTTCATCAACTTCGAGGTGGGATGTATGTGTTCAGTGTAATCATTTAAGCCAATTTCCACAACCTGGTGACATGTTTTTAGAAGGGTTTTTAAAATAATTTTGCAACTTTAAAGCATTTTTTAACATGACAGTATTTACAATTCGAATATTTTTTTACATTCCCTTAAGTCCTTAGTGATCTAAAACAAATACTTAGTATTTAATTTGGTTTTAGTTAAGATTTAATTTTCCAGAAAAATATCTCAATAAGTCAGCATTGTTATACATTATTATAATTTTATAATTTGACAATTGTATTTAACATGATCATCATTCCATATTGGTAATATCAGTCATACAATGTCAATGTATACCCAAAAGAACTTCATAATAACATGGAGATTTATTTTTACATTTAATTCTCTTGCAACTGAAATCAGGTAATATTTTTAATAGTAACTACACAATTATGTAGATTAGGAAAATGTGTTATTCTTATGGGAAATTATGACAGCCAAAATTAAAATCACAAAGTTTAAATGTAGAAAATCAAGTAATTTCTAGGCTTATAAATATCATATTTTTAGGGAGTATAGATGACAAGGAGCTTGGCTTTACATGTTTCCTTAAAGATAGCATTTAAGTCTTGTGTGATGGCTTGTCTAGGATGATTTTGAAAGTATCTGGGTTTACGTATGCTTATGTCTGAAGCTCTAGTCTGTCACCACATTTTTCTTTTTTATACCTCTTGGTGTGATTGGGTGATGTCTGCTTATTTCAACACATATTTAATAGTATCTATTTTATGTTTCATAAATGAAGTAGTTGCTTACAAATCCCATGAGTTCATTTTTCTTAATTTTGTTGTGCATTAACTAGTCTACTCTTGATTATCTTGGTGCATTTTAGTATATGACATCAGACATAACTAATAAGAGAAATTTTGAATCTTAGCATTGGTGTCAAAAATGTATCTATACCCCATAATGTGGTGTCCACATCGATAATCTCCAACAAAGTAACATTCTATGAAAGGAGTGCATTATACTAATGACTGGGTCATGTATGTTTCTGATTATAAAAAAACAGTACGTTTCATGGTCAAAGGGACAGTGTTTTGGATAACCGTTTTCTAGCACTCCTGCTTAAATTCAAATACTATTGACCAAACCATGCTGGATTACTAATGGAGGAGACCCCTGGAAAGATACGTGGATATAATTAGAAGCAGCAACACCCCCTCCTCCCAGAAATTCCATTTTTTTAAGGAATAAGAACTTATTAGGCGATTTGAAACTACTAGCCAAAAACATCTTATCATAATATTGAAAATAAGACCTTGATTTATATATAAATATTTGGAATGGGGATATTTCAAATGTTAACACAAGTAAACAGATCTATACCTAATATAATAGTTGCTCTAGTGAACAAAGGAAAGATAGTAATTCTTTAAGAGAGAGAAGAATGATCCAGTGAAAACATTAAGACTTTGTTTTTACACCTGGTTTTGAAGTTTGGATCGTAATCCTAACTTCTATTATGCAGGCTTATTTTATTGAGGGTTTTTAATAATGTTAACTTTGCAAGCCTCAAAATGTCTTTTCAATTTTTACTTTCAGAAAAGTACAATTGACTTGGCTTGTATCTATCTAGAAATAAGATTCTAAAGGAGGTAAAAAAAGACCTTGAGATGATTGGGTTTTTCTTAGAGCCCTGATAGCTTTCAGTCTAAGAGCAACATAGGCCAAAGTTGTGAAGTGCAAGCATAGGGGAAGAAAGAAAACTATGTCAGGCAACAAAATAAGGATGTCTTCAAGTTGACCTTAGATTCAGTCTATCCCACAAGATACCTACTTCCAGATAGAAATTTTAGGGTTAAATAATACCGTCCTACATCCCAAACACCATGTAGGTACCTTTTTTTCATTTTAAAGTCCCAGTGTTTTATTATATACATCAACCTTACGAGTTCTCCAGCCCAATAGCTGAAAAGGGAATTTTGTCAACATCATTTGCCAATCCCATAGGTGTTGAATGTTATGTAAGGGGAGCCCACTCAGTTACACAAGTAGGTATATAGCTCAGTAATCACTGGAGTAACTTAGTAAGCAAAATATTAGCATTGTTATAATAGCTTTTAACTCACTGTGGAATATTCTCAGCCTTTATTCTTAGTAAAATAACTGAGTCTGGATCACTGTTGGCAAAATATTTGTAGACTGTTTATAACATTAATTTTAACTCAAAGCCACTTACAGTCATTTTCAATAAAGGAGTGCTTGTTTTTATAGTAAATTAAGATGATAGCCTTTTAAAAGCATAATGTTAAACATCTGAAGAGCTGTTGCTAGTGTATTGTTTCTTTTAATGGGAGTTTAGATAGAACAGTTTTTAACACAGCTGCTGCAATGTTCTTTGCATATTTTATACATAGTATTACATATTACTTAAGGACCAGCTAATTTGTTTTCAAATTTCAGACATTTTTCATGAAGTAACTCCTTTTAGGGAGGAGATAATTCTTAAAAACAAGTATTTGTTTCTTATAGGTTCGAACAAGGTCAGTTGGTGAATGTGTAGCATTCTATTATATGTGGAAAAAATCTGAACGTTATGATTTCTTTGCTCAGCAAACACGATTTGGAAAAAAGAAATATAATCTTCATCCTGGTGTAACGTGAGTTTATTTATTTTCTTTCCAGTCATATTTTTGCTAAGCTTTCCTAAATTTTTCTTGAGAAAATTGTAATTTTGAGAATTTACATTAGTTTAAATTACATTATTGGCATACCTTTATAGGACAGTTAGACTTCAGTGTCTTATAAAACACTGTAGACTACAGTTCATATTATTTGAGACAACAAAATATGTCAAAGCAAATGTTAGAGTGTATGTTTTCAGCAGTAGTCCTGAGAGGAAGTGGATCAGAACAACTATTAAAGCATGTTTTTGTTAAATTCTATTCTATTCAGTATAAGCACATACAGTTTTAATCTGATAACACTGTGACAGCAGTGAGAATAGAAAAGAGAGGCTATCTTTTGTAGAATTGTAGGGCCATATGCCTAATAGAGGTACTTTAAAGAGAAAGGGAAATTAATATTTTTCCTTGCCTAATCTACTTTTGATCTATGGAACCAAAATAAGATTTGAGTGTAGATGATATAAAACGGGAATTAGGTCAAATTATATTGATATTTTCTTTTTTGTTACAAAGTTTTTTATAGAGGAAAGAACATGTGCATGTTGACTTACTTTTTCCTAGATTTCCTGACACCTTTTCTCTACAGAAATAATTTTAATAATTAGTAATGCAACTTTAGCTTATTCCCGATGATACAGGGAGTATGGGTTATTATATCCACTCTTTATGCAAAATGCCTTCTACGTCTAATCCACTCCCCATGCTCCAAATTCTCCTAGCCTTGTTCAGTGTAGCTTTGGGCTGAAACCCTGTTCCCAACTGGCCTCAGTCATTCTGGTTTTGGAATGAAACACTGTCCCCACTGCCACTAGTAATTTGTTACTTAAGCATATAGAGTATTGAGCCTTTGATCTCACATGAGTTGCTCTAAAATATCGATGATTTGTTATGGCGGAATTAATTTTACCATACTACCCCGGTTATTCCTAATGTTTATGGAATAAAAGTAATGTCAAGTTGTGACTTCATTTGGTCAGTGTGCTCCAGGAAAGTTCTTAAGGCTCCCCAAATAAGTGCCTTTGAAACGTGCTTTTATGCTATTTGATTGTGCTTTTTAAACTCCTAGGGTGGACTGTTTCTTGGTCATGTTCATTTACAGGTATCTCTGCTGATCACTTCCTTGGAGGATCAAACACTCTAAAATCAAAAGCGGAATTATCTAAAAGGGAATAAATGGGTATGATTGCCCCATGGAAATCATGGGACATTTGACTAAATGCCTCATCCCCCATTATTTAAAGCTCAGGATGGCTAGAGTGGAATTTCATAATAACAGTATTTCAAATTTTATTTAATTGTTTAATGTCATAAATTTATAGTTAAATTTTTTCTGGATTTATTGGTAGTGCTAAGGCATAATGATGTAGAACTAGATCAGCTACCTAGTCTTCAGTATGTAACTTAAAACAGTCACATTTTTCAAGCTATTCTATAGGGAAGAGCAATAGTAACATCTTTCATTTTTTTCACCCATTTCAGAAATAATATTTACACACAAACAACAGGCAATCTGTCGTCATCAGCAGTAAGAACCTAAGAATTGCCATACTGGGTCAGACCCACGGTTCATCCAGTTTTCTCTTTCAGAAAGCATCACCAAGGGAAGAGTGGGCTGGCTTAGTCGGTCCCCTGTGATATCAAGCTCAACAGGTTAGGTAGGGATGTGCCACCAAACATTTTAGTTTCTCTAATTTCTCCATAGCTTCTGAAAACCTTTTGAAGATCCTTGTATCTATAGCCTTGATTCCTCTTAAGGTTAAGTATTCTGTAAGTGAGTAGCCACAGTTAAAAGTAATCCCATTCTTCTCCTTTCTCAGGCTGTAAGAGTTAACAGTGGTCCCCTGGTGTAATGGTATGAAGTGAACAAATGTTTTCCCCCTTAGGCAAGAATACTATAGTTTTGTAGGCTTCAGTTATGTCCTCTTTGGGGCTTTCATAAAAATAAAAAAAATTAAAAATAAAAAAAATTTTTTAACTGGAAGAATTACAATTTTTTAGTCACACTCATCTGTTACATCTTCTATAAAAACCATGACCAGACTGTACATTATTTTCCAGATGGGGAGCAATTGTGGTTTTTTTGTAAGCATGGAGATATTTTTCTAGTTTGCTCCCAAACTTGTTTATCTAGTTTGCTTTCTGTTAATAATTGCACTTGAAGTGACTGTACAGAACATTAAGTTAACACCTTTAGACAAAAATTTGAAGGAATTTTTTTCATCTTCCTTTTCAGTCAAAATCTATAGCTAGATCAGTTATTCCGAAAGTTATTTGTTCATTTTTCTGTTACATTGTTACATTGCACTTGTTCAACAGAATGACATGTATTTGCCATTCAGTCTATAAGTAGCCTTTGAAAGGTTCTAACACAGATTTTTTTTCACTACTTGGAAGAATTGGTAGCCATATGCAAATTGGAGATTTTGCTGTTAACTGCCTTGCATATAATTTCTTTTTAAAAAAGTAAAAATTAACTCAGCATAACTGGTTATCTGAATGCTGCTCCACCCACCTGGATGGTGTACTTGACTCTTCTCCTTCCTTCAGCATTCTGGATGCCGTTAAATGTGAGGAAATAGCAGCAGCAGCAGCAGTAATAATAATTCTTTTATTATTATTATATATATAATAATAAAATATAGCAGTGATACTATGATACTACTCATAGTATCACTGCTATATTCATAAATTTAAAATAATTTTGATATCTAGTCACCTAGTTTCCTGTGGCTTTTAACATCCTCCATTATCTATTCCCATCATAAAAAATGTATTTCCAACAATTTCTCCTCATGGATCGCCTGTTCCTGTTAGCCTTAGCTTTTGAAGTCCCTTTGGCATTCATGGTGCTCATTTCTGTTTCCATGTGCTTCCCATTTTTTACATAATGGTTCTGTAATTTTGACGAATGGCATAAAACTGAAGAGGTCTTAAAGACCATTAAATTTAATTCCCTCCATTTATAGATGAGGAAAGTAGGCCTAGAATGTTAAATTGATTAGCTCATTGTCACATATGTTACTTTGATATGTGTTAGTTTTGTACCTCAGACTGTTGGGAGCTTCTTGAGGTCAGGTGCCACATCCTTATTATATCCCCATAACCCACAGGACATTGTGATCATGTAGTTTGAGATTATAACTATAGTTGATAGTCTTTTTATGGACTATTATTAACACAGAGTTGGAGTAAAGTCCTGAGCCCATACACTGCTTCCTTCTTATCTAAACTCTTATTCTCCTCACAAAATTCTAAAACATTTTACTTAATATTTCTATTAATACTTAGGGAATTATAAAATGTAAAATGCATTTAAATTATTATTGAGCTTCTACTCCTTGCCATGCAAAACAGACTAAAACCCCTGCCTTCGTGAAGCTATTCCAGTGTAGGTCTTGGCCGACTTTTTCTGTAAAGAGCTAAAGAGTAAATATTTTAGGCTTTGCAGGCCTTAAGTTTTCTTCTGCTCACTCTGCTGTTGTTGTGCAGAAGCAGTCATAGACACTATGGAAATGAAAGAGTGTAGCTGTGTTCCAGTAAAGTATTATTCACAAAATCAGGTGGCCAGCTCATAGGCCATAGTTCACTGACCTTTATTCTTGTGACTTAATAGCACTTTTTAGTTTACAAAAGACTTCCTGTAGGTATCTTATACAACAGCCCTATATGGTAGATAGGTTATGTATGATGACATGCATTTTATAGGTAAAGACACTGTACCTCAGAGAAATATTTAGCCCAGATCTTCTAACTCCAAACCAGTATGACTTACACAGCTATCTTCTCGTGCCATATAGTTCAGGAATGACTTCAGGAGGAAGTGATATACTGGCAGGTAAAGCCAGCAGGTAAGCCCAGAACTTCAGTGAGTTTATTATAGCTCAGATCTCTCAGAAAGGTAAAGGTAAGATAAAGGTATCCAGGAAGGGTTAGGGAGGTGAGTCATTGTTAGGACCGAATTCGCCTTTCAGGTGTTGCCTTAGCCATCAAAGAGCTTTAGAAGCTTTCAAATTCCAACCTGTGTCTGTTAGAAATTTTTTTTCTCCTCCTGGTTGACTTAACAGGTCCTCTGATTTTAGTTGGGCTACTCTGAGCACCTGCCTAAAATTTTAAGTTTTAAAACTGCCTATAGGTCTCTAAAATTAGCTAGTTTAAAAGGCCTTGTACATTTTTCCTACAAACATGTAACCGAAGGAAGCTTTCTATTTAAATGTTCACATGCTGGTGTAATAGATGAGGCACTGGAATGAATGTAAGTGAAAATTAGGATATATTTGTTAATAAAGCCGCCTAAATTTAACCTCTCCTCATTTTAATTTTCAGCTTTTTTCAATATAAGAAAATAATTATTTTATTATTTTACTTCATTTTAAGGGATTACATGGATCGTCTTCTAGATGAAAGTGAAAGTGCTGCTTCTAGTCGAGCACCATCCCCTCCCCCGACTGCTTCAAACAGTAGTAACAGCCAGTCTGAAAAAGAAGATGGCACTATAAGTAACAGTAATCAAAATGGTAAGCAAGCAAAGAAACCCTTCTGTTTCTTTCAGTAGTCTAGAGTGTTCATTTTTGATTTCTATTCTATTTCCAAAGCAGGAGTTAAAGTAACAATTGTAATTACCAGATGAAACATGTATAATATCAGCATACATAGAAACACCCACAAAATATAATTAGCAAGAATTCCCATTGACACCACTAAGAAGTAAGTTTAATAAAGTATACTATCAACAGTGACCATTTCTTTTAAGAAATTTATGTTTTGAGTAACATCTTGTTTCTTATCCGATTGGGATACCTAGATATAAGTATACTTGTTAACTCTTAGACCAAAACTTACTGCCATATCACATCAGAAATGCACTGATACTTTTTAAATACTTTGAGAGCTTATAACACTTGATCAGAAAGGTACATTAACCATATAGATGAAAAGGAGTAGGTAACAGGCACTGTTTTAAATGTTTTTCTCTTTTGATAACATAATAACCTTAAAGGATAAGAAAATATACAACTGGTTTCAACCTGTGCATTTGTATTCTACAGAAACATTTCCATTTTTATCTCCACGGAAGAGAAGCAAAAGGCATGCAAATATGATTGAGGTTCAGATAATGTTCTTGTTTAAAATATACAGTGGACCATAGATCACTGTGTTGATCTTTGAAGTCAGACCTAGTTTGACTTCTGATTTAATTATAATGGTCTTCCTAAGAAGACAGTTGTCAAGCAGAAAGTAGTAAGCCCTTCACCCCTCTTTAGGAAGAAACTGGTCAATTAGAGATAAATTCTGCCCACCTACATTATGATGTAACAGCCTTAGGGGAGGGCCAGTGGAGAGCTAATCTCTGGTTCACAGAAACTAAAAGAAATTCTGAGCAAGATTTGACCCTTTTTCTGACCTTTGATCTGACACTGGCACTGTTGTGGTGAATATGCTGTACTTTGTTCATGTGGTGACCCCTCTCTATTCCCTCATTATTTCCCTTCTAAGGACAAGCCAAACAAACAAAAATTAGGGTCCAGCAACCATGTCGTGGTCCAAATATTTTATTAACGTGACAACTAATGCCAGCTACATGTCACATTAGGACAACTAATGCCATCCTGAAGTAGAATAAGAAGCTGAGGCTCTGACCTTGGGACTAGAGCTAGAAACTCAGGGAGGCAGACAGTCGATACTTCTGTCTTTTTCTGTTTGCTCATAATTACCAAATCACTTTTTCTTTTTGATCCACTTGATGAGAACATGCAGTTAGCCTAGGAGAGTTTCATAAGTTACCTATAATTAGTATCCCAGAAGCCATTGACATCCAGTACTTAAAATCAAATCTGTCAAGATAAGGAAGGAGCTTTCCAACCCAATTTATTTCTTTTGTAAGGGACTTAAATTAGTTACTTGAAATCTTAGTTATTTTTGACCAAATCACAGTGTCACCAAGCTCTTTGGGCTTACTACAACAAAGTTGTTCCTTCAGTATCATATGCACAGTCCCCCTGTGCATTCATGTTTTGATTATACTTTTGAGTTGGGGGAAATAGAATACGTATTTCCTTTGATCAAAATGTAATATTTGAGGCTTATCCTTTATGTTGACTATTTTAATTGAGTTTTGATTATCTTTAGTGGCACATTCTATATTTTTATTTTGAGTTTCCCCAAAATTTCTACTCCAAGTTATAGTCAACTCAAACATGACCTTTTCACTGTTGCTTGCTGCTTTTATTAGAATAATTATGTGCTCTCACCTATTATAGAAGAATTTGTGTTTACTTTTAGTATTTTAAAGTGTAGGCTTGGACAATACAAGCATTGATTTTTTAACATGACAGATTATTTAAATCCATATAGATGAACGTAGAGCATGATCTTTACCCTTATAGCACAAAAGCCATAGATGTACATTAAGAATACAGTCATGTTATCTTGATTTTATATAATAGTAGAAAAATCAGGCTTCTAAAGAGAGAGTAATTCTTTTTCTCTACATGATTTTAGAAACTTAGGACCCTTTGGCTAAATCTGAATAGTTTATTCATTTCTTTGCTTTAATTCAACTTACTTAGGCTATTGGATCCAGTGCTTATTTGTTGTCATATAATACCAAAACATGCTTTTAATATATGTCAAATTCTGTTCTCTAATTAATTCTTTACATTTATTAACTTATTTAATCGTCAAAATAACCCTGTAAGGTAAATTATTATCCTCATTGTACATGTGATGAAACTGAAGTACAGAGAGTGTAAATAACTTGCCTAAGGTCACACAGCTACTAGGTAAATAGAGCCAGAATTCAGACCACACAGATTTGATACCTCACTTCCTTGATGAAAAGCTATTTTCCAGTAGCTGTCTTATAGTCGTTTACAAATGTAACTTTTTATTATTAGCAGTCTCATTTATATTTCTTCTACCTTAGGGGTATCGTCTAATGGACCAGGTGAAATATTAAATAAAGAAGAAGTAAAAGTTGAAGGGTTACACATTAATGGACCAACAGGTGGAAATAAGAAACCACTTCATGCAGATATGGATAGTAATGGTTATGAAACAGATAACCTTACCACTGATTCAAAACTTGCCCATATGACAGTAAAAAATGAAAGTGATTTTGATGAAAAAAGTGAGAGACCTGCCAAAAGGCGAAGGGTAAACAGCAATGGAAAAGAAAGTCCAGGTTCTTCTGAATTTTTCCAAGAAGCAATCTCACATGGAAAATTTGAAGAACTTGAAAACACAGATGACTGAATTTTAGACATGTTTTACTTTCTTTGGAATAAATTCTAGTGTGACTAAAATTTTCAGGATTGATGGGTTACCTTAAAAAGTTGATTTCCTTGAAGCAGTTGGTGAAAATTTGAATTGAGCCCTAACTTTAGTAAGATTTCATAACGCTGCTTTTATAGACTTTACATTTTAAAACTCGAAAGACCCTTGTAAGGATATAACAAATGATTTAGTAAATTTGAATCAACTAAAGATAATCTGTACCTTCTCATTTGATGTATTGATCCTAAAAGTTCACTACAAGGTACTTTTTACTTTATTTGATGGCAGAGAAGAAAACACCAAGTTCAAATTTCTGCTTATCGTTATTAAGGAAACCCCTATGAATCCTGAAAGTTATGCTAGCATGATTTTTTTATATATAGAAATTTAAAAATAAACCAAGTCAGGTTTGTGTATGTAAAATTGTTGACATCAATGATGTCTTTCCATATTCTTATCTGGGCTTAAGAAATACATTCTGTATTTTTCCAGATTCTTTGTAGCCTTTGAAAGATTTTTACAGTACATATGTCTTGACTGAGCTGTCCTTTCTTATTACAAAAGCTTGTATAATTTTCTTAACTTGTACAGTTGGTAAACTTTTATGAGAGGAATTGATATTCTGAGTCTGTCAGCTTTCATTTTATTTTGCTAAGGTTTTTCTATTGAATTTTTAAGTGTTTGTGTAGTAACTAAGTCATGTTTCTTATCCAGGTGGTAAAAGCATTCATAAAGGATTGTGAAGATTTGTTTTTTAAATTTCTACTTAAGGACAAATAGTTTGCGAATTCAGAAATTAAGCATGATACTTAGATTGCATAGTTTGTTTTGCATTGCTATAATTTTCAAAATTATTTTTGAAGCAAGACAAAAGTTTAATGTTGGCTTAAGTGCTTAAATGTATCATGCTGACCAGAATCCTGTTCAGTTATTTTTATATGCATTTTGAAATTTCCCATTTTTGCATTAAATAAACTGGGGAAAAGGTCAAGTGATATTTAGATAATTGGCACAACAAGGAGTTGGCAGGCAACAATATTGATTTTATGAGGAAAAAGTGATGAAGTTAGAAAAGTTTTTAGACTTTTCCAGTTACAATCCAGTTTTCCAGATTTCATAGCGTTATTTCCAAAATGAAAATAAGATATGCAGTAACCTTTGCTCTGTGTGATTACAAATAGTATCATCCATTTGCATAGCCTTGCAAGAGTGCCATTTTATTTTTAGTGCAAAATTCTTGTTAAAAAAATGTAGTTTTATACATACAGCTGATAGACCAACTTATATCCAAACTTTTATAAAAGATTATTAACTATTCTTGTTTTTATCACACAGGCATACCCCAAATGCTTCTACCAGTTCATTTTCAGCCATCAGTTCAAGAGCCGATGCCTTTTTAAAATAAATCTTCTGTGGTCTTGTTTTTAAATGGCTCAACTGTCTAATGCAATTGAGTAGAGGTTTGCACTGAGATGTTATGGTTTAGGCCTTACCCCCATGAAGTATTACTATTAACATAGTTTTAGACTGCTTCCCTCCACCAATGTGAACAACTTTTCCCCCAAACAGTGTTAAAAGCCACTTTACAACACTTGACTTCATATAATATATTTTCACTGTTATTACATACATATCCAAGTAAATCAGAGTTTTGGGTGGAAGTGTTGAGAAGCATGAATTTTTTTGTTGTTTTGTTTTGTTTTGTTTTACCTAGAACATTAATTTATCCAGAATGGCAGCTTTAACAGATGGTCACAATCCATTTTCTAAATCATATTTTATTAAACGAATCCAAAGTATCCTAGCTTTTATCAAAGATGGTCTATAGAAATATTTCAAATGAATAGTGATGCTGTACTTTTTAAGTTGTTGCAATATTAGAGACACCATTTTCACCTTTTATAAAATATGCATTTTGTTTGGCAGGTTTGTGAAGTTCTTGTAAACTAATATTACAGGAACATTTTCAGTAAATTCTCAGGCATGTTTGCAAATACGGCACATGTTAGGAAGTCTTTTCTTAATCTTATCTTTTTGAAGTATGCCTAACAAAAAACATTCCACTATTATAATACATTATGCTCAGCTTTTCATAAAGAAATATTTAATTGTATTTTGTGTTTATACAGGTATGTCACACAATACTTTGTTTGCTCTTTGCTCTTCATAATGCAGCCATTATAACTTGATAAGTTATTGCACTAAAATTTTAGTAATATCATGAATTTAATTTGCTTAATATTTAGTACATTTCATAACTCTTGAACTCTTGACAAATTGCATTGGGAAAAGAAGCCTTTGTTAATAGTTACTTAGTCTCCCTCACCCACAGCAAAGCACTATCATTTTCATTTGGAATGGTATTGTTTTATGATGTTTTCAAATAGAGTTCAGAATCTGCAACTCAGTTCAACACAAATCTGTTGAGCTTTAAAATGTATTTCAAATAATATTTAAATAGGCATTTAAAATTATGCATAGTAATTTTGCACTGTAAAATAATTCCCTTCTCCCATTCCCTGTCTGCCATTCTGAATATGCTTATTAAAATATTTTTTTAAACATACTTGCCTACATAATGCTGTGAATAATTGTCATTAGATCGAGTCACTAGGTTTTAAATTATAGGTTTTAAGTTTGTACGATGTACATTATTTACAATGCATAATGTATACAGTCCGTGTCCGTCCTGCTTCTGACACTGCACAAAGTCGTGTTTCAGTGACTCCTGGTCCCTTCTACTCATCTTGGGTAATGTATTTTTGTCTTTTTTTTTTTTCCCTAGAGAGATCCTTTGGTCTGTGGACCTCTGTTCACTTGTTTCTCTTCCTCTAACTATATAATTAAAACTATTCCCTTCTTTTGCAGTGTAGTTCAGATCACATAATATTTTGCAAAAACTTATCACAGTACTTATTTGCTTTGCTCTTTATGGAAAAGTAAGAGTGGGAACTTCAAATAAGTGAGGGTTTGTGAATTTCCATAGGCAAAATGTGTGCTGATGATACTAGGGCTGCGTAACGAGCTCTATATCATAAACACCAAATCAGAAGAAAAGATTTTTCCCAACTATAGTCCATACTCTTGAAAAATGCCAGTGTGGAAAATCATATAATAACATGGGGGAAAACAAGGAGTTGACAAATTTCAACCTTTTATCTCCCTAAAATTAAAATTACCTTTCTTTCTGTATCACATGATTTAAATTTTTATAAAATCATCACTGCTCTAATCAACTTTATCCTTTGCGAAGTCTTAAAGGGTCATCCCTCCAAGTCATGGGCTGATTTTATGTACTTGAATATATGGATTAGCCTCTTTATTTTATAAGACCAATTTTCCATAACCTCATTTACTATGTACCCTTAGTATTGTGCTGGCATTTTTTGACATCTGAATGTTCATGAGATTTTCCTCTTCTGAACATGATTATTTTTTATCTTAGCTCCTATGACTTAGGATGTATATTATACTTAAAATGCCATTTTGCTTGCTCTCAGAAGTAAATTTGACACTTTTAAAGGATACCTGCTCTGTGAAGAACATTGAAGAATTGCCATATAAACGAGCGGAACTCTAATTCTCCTTTGTCCAAATTGATGTTAAAGGCATCACCTTTAAATGTCCATGGTGACAAGTTTCCATATACCCTGTACAAGCACAGGCCCAAATACTATCCAGCAGATATTTGGGCCTGTGCTTGTGCCAACTATTGTGCTTGGCGTGTGGCTTCAGAGATGAGGCACGTTCTCTTTGAGAAGGCATTAGCAGGTAAGTGCTGTGATACGTATGCCGAGTACAGAGAGGTCAGAAGGAACGGAAAAGTAGGCACAATCACAGAGAGAGAGTTTATTAGAGTCTGCCGTATAATTCTAGCTAGATAATATTTTCCTCCAACTCAATATTTGTTAGAAATTAAGCCAACATGAAGTAAATGTACGATTCCCCTAAGACCTTTTTTTTTTTTTTTTACATTTACTGCTGGATGGATTATAACGTAATAGTTGTGGGTTATTCAAGACTCTCCCCTTTCTCTTGTCATTTGCTATCTGGTGGGGAGTCTCCTGATTTCCTGAAGTTTAGATAATGCAAATTTGGTCTGGTTATTAAATTCACTTTTTGCTATTTTTATTCACCATTCTAATCGTGAATGGTTGAATGTAGAGTGGGCTAAATGTGTCTTTCTGCATACCAACTAAAACTTGTTTGTAGAGTTCAGGTAGTTCTAAAATAAGTGGTTTTGTTCTTTTCTCTCTCAAAATGGACTTTGTATAAATATGAGGAATATACACTTTAACTTTTTAAAAGAGTCGACCTGGACCTGAATTAGGTTGACTCTTTTCAACCTAATTGAAAAGAAGGAACTGGGGTTCCCCTTCCCCCCCTCCCGCCCCCCTGCCCAGAACTGAAAGAGATGAAGCAGAGAGTGGCATCAAACTAACCTGAGCTACTTTAAATTCCTGACCAGAAAAATCTAGATTTAGAGGAAGAGCTTGCTCCAAAAAGGACTTTTCAATGCCTTAGGCCACCCTTGTCACCAGTCATGCTTTAACTCGGTGAACAGAGAAACCAGTTCTTGCTAGGAGCTAATGATGGTGCCATTCTGAGGGTTATTCCATTAATCCCCTATAAGCACATAATTGTAGATGGTGGAAATTTATTTGGAAGGCTGGTGGTTACAAGCTTTCAAACAACCTGAAATTACTAGCTTCGTGATGTGTTTTGCACGTGGCCTCCACTGCGTTGCTGTCTGCCTTTGCCTCCAGTGTTCAGCAGGCATTTGTATTTTCAAAGCATACTATAAACACATTGGGGCTAGCTCTACAAATTTCAGAAGTGGCTAGTGCTAGTACTGAGCCAAAAAGATTAAAACAGCTCACCTGGGATTGTAGCAAATGAGCTGTGGCATATACCTTTAAGTGAAAAAAGCAAAATGACACCAGTTTTGTCAAAGGGATATATTTTATATATATATATACACACATATATATATGTATATATATATATGTGTGTATATATATATATATATGTGTGTGTATATATGTATATATGTATGGTTAGGAAAATAAGGCCATTGCCAAAAATTACAACTTTTTAAGTGGTGGAATTACGGTGGTCAGACTCCCTTATTAAAGACAACTCTTTGTATCACTTGCCACAGGTGCCACTTTGGTTTTGCACAATTTTGTTTTGTTTTGTCAGAGATTGGAAAATATATTATTACAGTTTATGTACAATGTTATACTAGTTTCAGGTGTACAGTATAGCAATTTGACACTTATATGTCTTACAATGCAATCACCACACTATAGTAATCATCTGTGTCCTTGCAAACTTAGCACAAAATTATTGACTATATTCCCCTTCACCTTTTCCACCCATCCCCCACCTTCCCTCTGGCAGCCATCAGTTGGGTCTCTTTTTGACTGTTTTTTTGGTTTTGTTTTTCTAGATTGCACATATAAGTGAAACTATGGTATATGTCTTTCTCTGACTTATTTTCATTAGCATAATACCCTCTAAGTCCATCCATGTTGTCGAAAATGGCAAGATTCATTTTTTCTATTGCTTTTTAATATTCCATTGGGGTGGAGGGGGCTTTGAATAGGCTCTCTATTCTTTTCTCCCTCTCTCCTCCTCCTTGCACACCCATTATGTTGCTCTTTCTAATGTAGTCAGTTCTTTGTAGAGTTCTTTCATCTTAGTTTTCTATCTTTCTCCTGTGTCAGTTCTAGTTTTCTATCTTTGAACTCGCTAATTCTCTCTTCCATCTGGTCTACTCTATTTCCAATGCATTTTTTATCTTATTTAGTTCTTCAGCTCTAGAACTTCTGTTGGTTCTTTTTTATAGTTTCAGTCTCGTTGGTAAAGTACTCCTTTTGTTTTATTCCTGAGCTCATTGAACTGCCTTTCTGAGTTTTCTTGAGTCTTGTTCAGTTTCTTCATGACTGCAGTCTTGAATTCGCTGTCATTTAAATAAGCCTTCCATGACTTTGAGTTTGGTTTCTTTCTGTTACCATGTTACCTTGGGCATTCATGATGTTTGGTGGAGTGTTCCTCTGCCTGCACTTTTGAGGTTGTGAATTCTTGTTTTGATTTTAATTCAGCAGGTTAATAATTAGAGGTTTTGTTTTCGTGGTGGGGGATGTCCCTTTTGAGGTGGAAATTAACTCCTGGGTGCCTGGGGTAGTGGGTTTCCCCTGTCCAAGTCACCTCAGTCTCGATGCAGGTCACCACCACCATGGTGGGAGTATGTGGCAGGTGGGAAGAGCCGGGTTTGTGAACCTGCCATACTGCCTCCTCATAGACCGTTGTGCTGTAGTTGGGGGCTGTAGACACATCTGTGTCTGCTGCCATGGGGAGGGGGAGCCGGATCCTTGGGCAGTGATGCTGCTTCTGCCCTTACCCTCTGCCAGGCTGTGGTGTGTTGGCCGCACCTGTGCCTCACCAGTACTGTGTTAGCTGGGGCTGCGGCAGCTGTCAGAAGGCGTCTGCAGACACCGTTCCCGTCCTTCCCCCGACCCACCACCTCTGCGTTCCAGTACATCCACCTTCAGACATACTGATGCATGGCTCGCTCAGGCATGCTTGTGTGGCAAGCAGAGGAACCTTTGTTGGATTAGAGATGTCTGCCTTGTAAATTTAAGGGGAGATGCAAAGGGGTCTTCTCACTCCACCATGATGCCAACCTTCCTTGCTCTTTTTTGAGCTCTGATTCCAGGAATTTTGAAACCTTCCTTTCCACAAAAAAGGTCTCCGATTAATTTATGGAACAGCATCTCCCACTGCTTTATTGCTTTTGTGTAATTTTGTACCTCAACTTTCTCCCTCTCCCTAAGCCCTCGGTAGTGGGGGACGTTGAGGGGAGGAGAAAAAACACTTAACAAGGATGTCCATGACTATGTTGCTAGCCTGCGTCACCCTCTGGGTTCCACAGAGGGCCCAAGTCAGTTTTAGTGGCTTGAATACTAGCAGTGTCACAGTCCTTTATTTCCTCCTTTAGTTGAATTTGAGTGGAGACTGTTTGCTGCTGAAACATCAACTCATTTATAGTTACAAACTTTAGAAGCGTTTCTGAACCAGCATCATTTTATACCCATGCTGGTATTTACAAGGTATAAATGTATTCCAACAGCTAAAGCAGTGGACTTAATCTAATGTTGGGAGCCGCGTGAATTGTTATCAGTACTTTTAAATACTCCATTTCAGAATAGCTCAAAGCCCTTGCATTGCCTTACCTCTGACTATACCTCATACTGTACCTCCATCTCAATCAAAGGATAGTCTAAACTATGTACTTTATTCAGAATCCTCCTGTTTAAAACACAGCCTTTTAATATACCACCTCTTTCCATCCCACTCATCCAAATTTCAACCATGTTTCAGGATTTCACCTCTTGATTTGGCCACTACTTCGTAATCTTGTGCAAAACAAAACCCCTAAACCGCCCATCTGTAAATTAAGAAAAAAAACCACTGTGCCAGTATCACAAGGCTTGTTGGGGTTATACAGTCACACATAAGAAACATGTTATTTCTAGAGAGCATTAGGTGGAAAGACTCAGT